CGAGTCCGCGAGCGTGCAATGCCTCGACCAAAGACAAATGGCCTTGCCCAGCCACCGCGTCAAAGAGGCCATGAAGCGCCGACGTCGGCAGGTGCTCAATCAAAAACCCAAGTACGTCAAACGCGTTGAACCCGAGCGCTGCACGTGCGACGTCGTTGCTGTCCCAATCGCGTTGCCGGTGCGCCCAGAGTAGCGCCAAAATGGACACGTCGTTCTTGTAGAGCGTCGAGTGGCAAGAAGGCAGCCAGTCGTCGAGAAGCCGCGACGGCCGACCGCGGAACTCGTCTTCAAAGTTGCGGTTGAGCTCTGGCACACGCGTCGCCCGCTGCTCCAAGAGGTACGTGGCGATGTCGAGATGGTCGTGGTGAATCGCAGCTTCGATAGCCTCTTGGTACGCGAGGTCGGGGCGGCAGCGCAAGATGCTTGTGGTCGCCGCCAGATCGCCTTCGAGTATCGCCAAGTGCAGCGGGAAGCGAGGGTCCCGCGTGTTGTGCAAATTGAGGTAGAGCTCTTCCGTGGTGAGAGCATCGGGCGGCGCATCTGGGTTGTTCCATTCACGGTACGAGGTGCGGAAGAGCCCTGGGTCGAGCAAGTAGACGCCCTCGTACTGGCCCTGCGTCGCTTCAAAGTCAACAAGGTGGTGGAAGTCGCGGAATCGAGTCGCGACGGCTTGGCAGACGCCATCCTGGTAGCCAGTGACGACGGCAAACAGCTCGGGCTGGCGCAGCACAACGTCGACGAAGGTGGCCATCCGACTCGTCAAATTGCTGTTTGATTGTTGAATGACATCGACAATCGCCCACACCATCTGGTTTGAAGTAGTGTACTACGTGTATTAGTGTTATGTCTGACTGTTTCATCGCGATCCATTGTACACGACATGGAACTGCACGGAACTACTGTATTTGGACTGAAGGACAATATTGACTTATAGAAACAAATGCAAATGTGACATCGCACAAGAGCTCCCTCAGCATTCCTGCTGAGTGAGATCGCAGCCACAATTTCCCGAGTCTTTGTCCCGCCGTCACGACGCACACTCGATCGCCCATGTGCGATAAAGCAACAAGCACAGCAACCTTATGGTGTAAACTACCGATACAATGCCTTGACCGTTCAACTATGCCGATGCCTCGGGGGTGGCACTAGTACGCCATCGCATCAATGTAGGAAGCGCGCAATCGTCGCCGTACCTCGATAGTTTCTTCTTGGTCTCTATGGCGCGCTTGTAAAACTTGGCGTCTTTCTCCGCTTGGGCGCGTCGCTGCTCGTCAATGTACTCTTGCTGTTGCTGGAGCTTGGTCATTTCTCGGCGCTCTTTCTCAAGGAGCCAGGCTTGGATCTTGGCCTGCTTCTTGAGCGCCTTCTCGGCCGCCTTGATCTCGTCCTCCTCCGAGACACGCGGTGGCGCATCCGTCTGCCACGTAGTCTCGCTCTCGCTTGACGACGGTTTGCCTCGGACGCGAAACGCAACGTCCGGCGCCGTTTTCGTTGCCGTCGCGGCTGCTACAGACAATCGTTGGTGTCAATTTGCTGACAGTTCTTGACGCCTACATTTGGTGCGAAGGCGGGCAAACGTGCTGGCAGTCGACGCGGTGAGGGCGGGTGGCCGACCTGCGTTGGTCGAGACGGTGGTCTTGGTGCCAAGTGATCGGAACGACGTCTCAAGAATCGTTTTGAGTTCGTCTTCTTCGATTTCAAACTTGAAAAAGCGGTCCGTCGCGTCCTTTAGCCGACTCAGTACGCCTTCCATGTGCTAGTCCACAATATGTGTCTTTGGGCTGTACGCGAGGATGCTAGATGTACTTGATTTTGCGCCAGAAGTTGCTTGGTCCTGTCGTCGCTCGGCTCGATGGTGGCATTGTTGTTGCTATTGTTGTTGCTGGTGCTGACAAGTGACTCGGGACCGCTTCGGGCGTCGAGCTCTCGCCGGAGTTTGACCGTCTGGGCTTTGAGGTCGTTGTTTTCTTGGAGAAGACGCACGAGCTGCGAGTCGACTTGGTTGGGCGAGTTGCCGCCTTCAAGACTGGCGATGACGCTTCGAAGCTCGAGCACTTCCGCCTCGAGCTTCTCGACGTACGCCGGGTCGATCACCCGCTGCTCGTTCACGCGCACCGACACCATGACCTAGCATAAGACAGTAGGCGCTTGTAAAGGACACATAATGTATGCATTACTTGCTTCGCGCGGTCGGCAAACTTGAGCGTCGCTATCGACTCTTCGATGCAGTCGATGGACGGCGACAAGGTCGCAATGATGCGCGTCTTGGTGTTGCCGCCAAGACTGTCTTGCAGGAGTCGCGTGAGCTTCGAGTCTCGGTACGGCACGTGGCTTCCCTACTCGCATGCACTGAGCACACTGAATCGACAATGGCACACGTAACTACCTTGGTGGAGAGCGCGCCAATGCACCGACCCAACGTGTGCAAACTCAAGTTGATGTTGGTCATTTCCGAGATATGGTTGTACTACCGAAATGTGTCACCACAGCCGGGTAGGTAGAGAACAAGGACAAGCGTACCTGCATGGACGCGTCAGCATGCCACTTTTCCGAGCCGGCCAGGTCCACGAGGTTGAACTTAGACTTGGTGAGCGTCCCGTCGGGCCGCTTGGCCTCAAGGAAGATCTGGAATGCGCTGTGGCTACGACTACTCACGAGGTTCATGTGCGTGGCGCGCACGGCGCGGTGGTCCTCGCCCGTCTGGAGGAGCGCGAGACAGTCGTGCACGCTGCGCACCGCGTACTCGGAGAGGCCCTCGACGTAAATCCCGTTGACGCGGTCTTCGTGCACGGCGAGCGGCTTGTCCATCTTGCCGTCGCGCAAGAGGTCGTAGACGTTTTCGTTGTAGATTTGCACAAATGAGCAGTAGAGCGTACACTCGATCTGGTCGCCTCGCTTCTGCACGAACCCCGCAAAGATGTCTTTGATGGCGCGCGGAATGACGCCGGCTTGGGACTTTGCGAGGCCTGGCCGGTACCGCGATTCGTCTGTCTCGGCGCCAAACATGGTGAACGACTTGCCGCTGCCCGTTTGGCCATACGCAAAGAGCGTTGCGTTGAAGCCGCTTAGGAAGGCGTCGGTGCACTCCTTCACCCGGTCGTACACGTCTTCTTGGCTCATGGACGGGCCAAAGACGGCGTCGTACTGGCACTTGATGTGTGCATCGGCAGTTTGGACCTCGATCGTCTACAATGTAGGTGCATAAGCTCCTGCAAAAGGCGGAAGGTAGGACGTACGTTGTCGGCTGTCGCGCGAATGTAGTGCTGCGTCGTCTGGCCTGACACCTCGCGTTCAATGAGCGGGCGAATGCGCACAAACACTTGGATGGACTCGGACGCGCCTTTGGCGGCGCGGCTACCCACAGGCTCGCTAACCTCGGACGGACCTTTGCTGGCGCGGCTCGGCGCGGGCTCGCAGGCCTCGGACGGGCGTCGGGGCAGCATCGCGTCGGCCTCGCCGTCGCGGATCAAGCGGCAAAAGTGAGGTACCTTGGGGTCCGACCACGATTGCCCGCAACAAGGCGGCGCGGCCATGCAGTCACGGACGCGGGTGTCAAGAGGATGATGAAACCCACAAGGTTATTTCCAGCGCCGTTTCAGCTGCTCGTAAGTGCATCCGGTGGCGCCACGTCATGCGTCCTGCCGACGGCGGCGGGCGTCAGACAACAGCCGACGACATCTAGAACTTTCGACGGCTCGGAATGTTGGAGCTACTCTTGGCTGGCTACTGCGTGGCTACTTGCTGTGGCGTCTTTGACACGAGATTCGTGACCTCCGAGTGCAACCTGGGCCAACAGCTTGAGACCAGCTTCGTGCTGCGGCCGCGGACCCGAGCGATCCTCCCGCCTGTCTTGCTCGGTGACACGGTGTACATGTGCTGGGTCAGCACAGCTTTGTCTTCGTGCTCGAGCAAAGATACCCGACGACGAGGCTGGCTTCTCGTCAGAGGTGCACGGCGTCATGTGTAATGACCGCCGTCGGCCACGTGGTAAGGGCCGATACAGTACTGAGCGACTAGTAGGAATATTAAAACAGTTGATTTTTTAAATACGCTACGCGATATAGCTACGGTCCGTCTAAATAATCTCGACACAATAATAATATACACACACCATGGGATCACATGCACCAGAGCAGCTTGCGGTGCTCGGCGAGGAGGTCCGCGAGGCGGAAGAGCTGGTGGAGACGCGGGCGGACGTCCGTGACGTTGCGGAGCGTCATGACCACCTTCGTCAGCGACTCGAGCGTCTTGTCATGCACGTCGTCGTAAAAGCTTGGGACCGGAATCCCGTTGCTGGGCTGCGGCAGGAACGACACTGGGTTGTTGTCGACGAGTACGACTTTCGAGAGGTCCGACCGGATCGAGCGCAGGTCCTTCATGAAGAAGCCGCTCTTCTGCGTGCAGGACGTACGGAAGAAGCGACCTTTGAAGAGTGTGTTGGTCGGGTCGAGCGCGTCGAGGATCGGCTTGCCGTAGATCTCGAGGCCGGCCGTAAAGACGTACAGGTCAAAGTGCTGGCTGGCCTCGAGGAGGAACGCATCGAGGCCCGGGCGCTTGTTGACAACGACTCGCTCGCCGTCTTCCATGGTCACTTGGAACGACTCGGGGTAGTCCTCGACGGTCGAGGTCGGGCGCGCTTCGTCCTGGCGGTATGTCTCGGGCGTCGCCGAGAGAATCTTGGTGTGCACCAAGCACTCGTCCATGTCCAGCACCAGCGCGATACGCTCATGCGGCGCCGCAGCTGCGGTCTTGCGCAGCGCCCCGAGCGAGACGACAGGGTACGTGGCAACGGTAGCGCTCATGGTGAAGGCGAGGATGGAGGAGATGCACAAGCAATAAGCTCGAAGCTGGAGATTCAATAATGACACATACGGGCCAGCGCCATGTAAACCGGTTGAAGTTCCGGGGTGGGCCTCATCCGGTTAAGTGCCCGCCAGCTGGCTCCCGATTGGGTTTCCGTACATGTCCCAGCGCGCCAATGAGCGTGTGCGATTTTAATCGGCCACTTTGAAGTTCCGACGGTGGACCAATCAGATGTCGACGAAGTGCCGTGCTGGTAAAAGCTCGTTCCAGCCACAGCCTATCGGTGCTCGACAGGGTTCCTTCTCGTCTTGGATTGGCCAATCCTACCTACAGTTTTAGCCAATCCGCACGCATTCTCTCTAAAACACACGCTGGTCGGCCACTTGAAAATTGTAAAGAAGAACGCACGTTCTTCTGGTCTTCTAGAACGCGCGAGCCCTCTTTTTGTCATTTTGCTTGACACGAATCGAACAAGCTATTCAGCCTTGCCATACCGACGACGCTACGAGCATGCTGCTGCTGATGCAAGGGATATCGCGCGGAGGATGCCCACCTTGCATAAACATGGCCTGCGGCTTCTGGTCACTACGCTTGCCATTGGCCTCCGCGCGGCGTATCGCAGGGCCCATGTCCATGCACGCATCGTACACTGCAGCAAGCAAGCGCGTGATGCGCTCGTGGCGCATGGGCTATAAAGCGCGTGATTGGCCATATTCGGTGACTGATAGGAAGCCGCAAAAGCTGGCGCACGCCTGCGTCCTCTTTGCGTCCTTGCAGGTTGGAGAGATATGCCTTGGTAAACGTCCTTTCTGGGCGAGAAACAGATACCGGTTCATTGTGATGCCGAACATTAGATCGCTTTGCAAGGTTAAACCGAGCCAATCATGCACGGCCGTGGAGAAGCAGCGTCTCCACCACATTGCTTCGGCTCCATTCCTGAATTTTCGACGCTATGGCACCCCACGGATGGTCGACCGATTTCGTGTTTGATCCGAAAGCGCTGGTCGCCACCAAGCATGCGCGCGCCAAGCATGTCGGTGGCATGCGCCACGGTACAACGACGGCCCCGTCCGCGCCTGCCTTCTCGCTCTGCAACGCCGCCTTGGCGGTGCTGACCATCGAAGGTCTCTACCTCTCCGGTATGACACTCGATCCAACCGTCGAGCATTCCAACATGCCGCCCGAGCCACCGAAACCACGCCGTCGCCACCCGCGAACGACAAAGGCACACAGCATGGTGCGTCGCAAACGCCCCGTGGACCACAAGGCCAACCGCACGCTGAGCCAGCCCCGTTAGAGAATATATCAGTGCGCGAGCTGGTCTATCTCACTTTGCCTCTTTGTCAAGTTTACCCTTTTACATTGCACATCAAAATGTTTGTACATGTCGCGTACTCTGCCGCATTGCCATTTCGCAGGATAACTATTAGACGTGCATGCATGCTACACATTGGTCGCGACAGGGTCCGGTGCGCGCGCATCGTCCGTCTTGGTTCCTGCCACGGGCGCGTCGCAGGCGTCCTTGACCATCGCCGGGTCCGGCTCAGGCTCGGATTCGGCCGTCCACTCTGTCGTCATCGGGGTCGACGCTGGTGGCTCCGACGCCGTCGTCTCGTCGACCGGAACTTTCTCGATACTGGGCGGCTCGCACTCCGTGTCCGACGTCGGTGCAAGCTGCACCTGCACCGTCGACGGCACTGGGTGTGTTGGAACGACGGCGACTGCATCCAGTAAGCGAGTCATCACGGCCGCAGCCTCAACGCTTGCATCGACACACGCAAAGGCTGATTCCGCAGACGCCATCACAGCTACTGCGTTGCACTTACCCATCGTAGAATCCTGAACTGGTTCTGAGGACGTGGATGCGCGACAGGGCGGAGTAGCTTGGAGCAAGAGGTACGAGCCGGGCTCGCACGCGTACCCGCAGCTTTTATGGCGAGCCGATTCGGCCGTCGCAGCGACTTTGGCGAGCGTTGCGGCGACGTACTGGCGGTGCGCCGCGGCTTTGCGTCGAGATGCCGCCTGCGCGCGCTGCGCCAAAGCATGCTTCTCGGTACTCGCGTCTGTGCTCACGCGCGGCATGGTCTTTCGCGCGTACCATCGAGGTGTCGGTGTCGCGGCGCGCGCCTCTCGCTCCTTGCGCCGCCGCGTCGACTCGACCAGGTACTCTTGTCGGCTGCGCGGGGTCTCGTACGTCTGCCGCCAGGCGTGCTTGGCTTGCTTGCGCGCTTCGCTGGCTGCCTTGGCCTCGGCGGCCTGCCGCGCCTGCAGCTGCTGGTACGCCTTGACGCGCGCCGACGCGAGTTGAATCGCCGCATCGGCACTTGATTCCGTGCTGCGTTTGACGGCCAAGCTCGGGTGCTGACAAAAACGCTGGATCATCTCGGGTGGGTACTCGGGATCCTCCTCCTCCTCATCTTCTTGCCTGGCGACCGCATCAGCTTCTGAGCGATCGTTGTCGTCGGCGGCGGCGGTGGATGTTGAAGGACGCGTGTCTAGTTTCTCTGCTATTTGCACCGCGTCACCACCTGGCAGCAATCGAGGCTCGGGCAGCTGAAGCACTGGCTCGGGGATGTTCTGCACGGCATTCTCAGCGATGACATGACTCGCGGTCGATTCTTCTTCACACGTGGTCGTGGGGAGCGGGGTCGATGGCTTCTCTGGCGACGGCTCTTCCCACTCATCGGCGTTGTAACTCTCTTCGTCGGGCTGGGGCGACGTGGCGGACGCCTCGAAATCGGCGTCGTCCTCGTACTCGTCCATGGTGATGCGCTAAAAGTGGCGCGCTAGAAATAGATGTTGTGACCTTCTCGCAATGCAGCGACGACTTTGCTCTGGACAACGTGACAGGCGGTTGGCGCTATGCCTTGGTAGACACTTCGACGTTGAGCGCTGTCGTACCCGCCTTGTTGGCGTCCAGTACTGCAACGGCGTCGGTGACCTCGACTCGAGGTGACCACCTCCGGTCCATGCGAGCTGATTGTTCCAAGCAGCCAGCGACGCCACGTGCCAAGCTACCTAATGTACTCTCCTACAAGTCCCGTGGCAAGCTACACATGTGCATGAATCTCGAACCGGTCGCGCATGTGTGTCGGCAACTAACGTTGTAAACTCCAACAAGGACACCTTGGACACACGTATCTTGGTGGCATCTCGTCTTCCGGCAGAAAGTGCACTTTCGGTCATCCGGATACAGTACCGCAATGTTCCAGGATCCGCGATCTTCGAGGTCGCAGTCGTCGAAGGTTACGCGGGTGCGATGGCAGGCGCCAACGCGACGATCGTAGTCGTCATCAACGGTACATCCACGGCGTACTCGTGGACGTCCTTGGCGGCCGCGCTGGAGGCCGACTGCAAGGCCACCGGGGCCTGCCTCGCGAATCCGAGCCGCGACGTCGACGTGGTCTGGGTGCTCTTTGGCACGCTGCAGATCCTTCTGCTGCTGATAGGACTCGCCTTTCGCGCGACGCTTGGCGCCAAGCTCTTGCACGTGGCAAGTCTTGCAACGCTCGTAAGCTTTGTCTATGGCTTTGCACTCGCGTTCGGCGCTGGCGATGGCTTCATTGGCCACAATGGTTTCGCGCTCTCGTCAACGGCATTCAACGACGCATCCGGCTTGCACTTGGCGCAGTGGTTTCAACAGCTCACAGTCTCGCTTGTGCTCACAATGATCCTGGCGCTCGGCCTCGAGCGGCTACTGGCACCCTCGTCTCTCGCTGCGTACATTGCATTTGTGCTCGGCGTTGTCCATCCGCCTGTGGCGCACGCCGTGTGGGCTTCCGATGGCTGGCTCTACGGCAACCACCTCTTTGGCACCGGTGTCGTCGATCTAAGCGGCAGCGCCGTCTTGCACGTCACAGCCGGCGCGGCGGTCGGTGTCATCTCGGTGCTGCTTCGTCGGGATCGGTCGGTCGTGTGGCATGCACCGGTCGCACCGCATCGCTCACTCGCGACACTCTTCATTTGGATTGGGTGGTACGGCTTGATATACATCTCGACGCCGGCCATCCACGGCGACTGCGCAACTGTGAGTCTCCGCGGTATCGAAAACCTCACCGTCGCCGCCGCCACCAGTGGCTTGCTCTCGTCCGCCATCCACTGGCACTGGCGCCTCCTCGACGATGACGCCATGCACAACGGCGTTCTCAGCGGCCTCGTCGCCATCTCTGCGTCGACGAGCGCCGTGCACCCGCTTGCAGCCGCCCTTATCGGAGCCGGTGCTGCTGTGCTCTACGCTGTCGGCACGCATCTGCTCTACAAGTGGGACGTCTTTGGCGCCACGACCGATGTCGTCGTCGTGCACCTTGGCAACGGACTGTACGGCATTCTTATCGCGAGTCTCTGTGTGACATCGCATCGACTTGACGCCGCCTTCAAATGCAGTTGGGCAACGTTGCTATCGAAAGAGAGCCACCGCATTGGTTGTGGTCTCTGGGAACCGTGTGAGAATTCCCTTGGCGCCAAGCTCGTAGCCGCGAATGTCATTGGCGGCAGCGTGATTCTGCTCTGGACGACGGCGCTCTGTACGGCGATGGCCGCCCCGCTCGTGCATTTTGGCTACCTCCACGCACCCGCCAAGGACTTCTCAGTCTTTGACGACATGTTCTCCATGACGTCGGACATTGAGGGGTCGACGTACCATGACCTGGACGACGAGTTTGCAAGTCCCGAGTCGCCAACGAGTCGCGGTCTCCTCTGAGCTTCCTTTGCCACTTTTGGTAGAGTTCACCACACCTGGACTCCAGGTGCCTGGACACTTTTGTAGCGACGCGTCCTGGCTTTCTTGAGGAGCCTTTTAAATATTTCGTTGTACTATGGACTAAGCTTACAGTGTACTACCTATGGGATGGCCCAAAGCCGGTGACTGTCGTGACTTCTGACGGTCACCGAGTCACCGTGTGCGATGGTTCGTGTGCGAGGACCCGAAAAATAGAGCAGCGGACAGTAGTTGTAATATGAATAGATTTATTTCTTGGCCGTCATGATCTTGATGCCCTTGTAGATGGTGCCAGCCTTGTTGGGGACCTCGACCTTCTTGACGACGCGGTCCAGTGGGTCTTTCGACTCGTCGCCCGTCAGCATCGCGAACGCGAGGTTCGCGTGCATCGCCGACGGAAAGTTGACGGAGCACGACCCCCACTGCGACTTGAAGACAACGTTCTCGACCATTTCGGGCACGACGGACGTCGTCTTGGTCACGAAGGACTGAATGTCCGAGTTGAAAATTCCCTTGGGGATGCGGTGAATGACCCACTGGGCGGCAGGACCGTCGTCTTGGCCAGGGCGCGGGAGCGCCATCACCGGCGCCCGTGCGGCCGGCTTGGCGGACGACTTGATGCGCGGCGGCATGGTCAACGGTTTCGCTCCCGGCTCGTTGGCACTCGGCTCCGAGGGCGGCGGCCCCCAAGTCGTCGCGGGCGCTTTGTACACGATGACGGGACCAATCGGATTGGTGAGCGCGTACTGGGCCGCCAGCATCGTCATCTTGGCATCCAAGAACGAGTCGTGGACCGGCGGCATCTCGATCTTGAGCAGCTGCACCGTGAGTTCGCGCAGGCCCGGCGTACTCTTGATTTCGGGCACGTCCATGCGCTTATAGAGGAGCGCCGTGTCGAGACAGTTGGAGTGGTGGATCATCATACTTGCCAAATCGCCGTCGACACTGTGGCCGACGAGGACCGTGTCCGGGCCCAAGTGCTTGAGCACTTCTTTGCGGGCGCGGGCGACGTCAATCTTGGAGCCAAAAATGAGCTCGCCCGAAAGGCCGTGGATGTCGGTCTTGTAGTCGTAGATGATGCGTCCGGGCGGCGGCTGGTGCACAATGAGGTCGACCAGAATCACGTCCGGGTCTTCGCCGTCAATGAGCGTCACGCGCACCAAGGCATGCGAATCGCGATCGTCTCTCCTCTCGCTCAACGTCACGCACATTTCGCAATCGAGCGCGACAACGCGCTTGTACTGCGCCTTGGAGCTCTTCTTCATCGTTGAGGTCGAGACCCAGGTCCGGGGCCGGGCCTCATAGCGATCGTGGAAGCGGGGGTCTTGCTTGCAGAGGGCCGCAAGTTCTTCGTACGTGCGCGAGATCTTGACCTTCTTCGTCGACGCTTCGGGCTCGTCCGAGCGCGCACGCTTCGAGTTCGTCTCGGGCGATGACATGGCAACTTTGCCGATTGCGCTATGGATTGGCGGCCAGTGCTTTGGCAATCCTGCGTTCCATTGGCTCCGTACCGCCAATCAAATCGCGTCCGATGGCATTCAATGCGACGCGTATTAATAAAGCTACGTCTAAAACCATCTATATATTTGTTGAATACAAAACAATAATAATATAACGTGGATAAAATGTACGTGGCAGCATGCGGTGATAGGACGCTCGACGCCGCAGACGGCAGAGGATACTACAGGGGTCCATCTTGGTTGCATGCCTCTGGTGCCAACACCATGATTGTGTTTTTGCGCGTCGCTCGCGGCGTCCGAGTCGCTGGCCCATCACTGGACGTGCGTGAGAGTGAATGTTCTCCTGTTGAAATGAGTTATTAACATGGAATTATATAGTGAAGATGGTGGACTTCCTAGAGCGCTCGTGAGGTTTGGCCGGTACGTCAAGCTGAGGGCGCATGGTCAGGGCTCGGGATTGAGTTGGGAATGAGGTAGCGAGCACACCAAGGATCGGCGCGTAGGGCATGGAGCGACTCATCAAGCGAAGGCACCACGGCGCGGCGGGCCAAGTGTCGGATATGCAGTCGCGTGATAGTAGCGGCTTTGATCGCGAGCGCATCAGCGGGAAGGGGCGTCAATGTCGTGCGAAACACGCGGTTGTTACGTTCAAGCCAAAGACTGTACCAAACGCAAGCGCGCAGGATCGGCCAGAGGGCACGGATGGTCGGCTTGTGGGCTGAGAACGGCAGAGCGACGTCATCGTAAAGAAAGCCACCGACCGACGTCGGGAGTTGCAGCTTCAAGATATCGCGCATCGGGTCAAAAGCGCGCCAAACCGCGCGGATGAATGGGCAGCGCACTAAAAGATGGTCATACGTTTCGCGAGCGGGCACATCACAGAGCGGGCAGTGTCGGGCATCCGGGCTGAGGAAGTGCAAGCTGGACCGGACCGCCACGGCTTTCAGCGCGACACGGTACACAAAATCGCCGTATCGCGGAAGGACATGAGCGGGTTGCCGTAGTGGGACCAACGCAGCAGCTCGGCTTGGTTGCTGATAATAGGTCGCGGAGATGCCAAGGTGGTGCGCCGGCAGCACTCGCCAGTCGAAGTTTGGACGACGTCGGTAGCCGGCAAGGCGGATCTCTACGAGCGCAGCTGAGGCGACGTGAGGCCCGAGCTTGACGAGCCAGGTCGGGGCAGGATCTGGACGCGCGGCAGGTGCGACAGGTGCGATGAGCGGGAAGCAGCCAACGATAGCGATCGCGAGCAGCCGGATCCAGCGACGTGGTGGCTGCAGCACTGGAAAAAGTCGTGGCAGTTGCTCGGCGAGGTCAGCGACCGTGTGTCCGAGGGCTTGAAAGCTGTCCACGTGCGTGTAGCCTTGAACGGCAAGCGTCTCGACGTGCACAGCGTTGTCGTGTGCGAGCCACTTGAGCTTGCTGGACGTCGGAAGATGTGCGTTGTGCCAAAGCGGAAGCCGGTGCGTCACAAGCGGCGATTCGCGAGGCAGGCCATGCATGGTGTAGACGGTCGAGAACCACTCAAGGAGGACCGCCGGCCAACGTGTCGGGAAGCTGGGCGATGCGAGGAGAGCCTTGATCGTCGGGTGGCTCTTGCTGGCGTGAAGAAGGTCGCCAAAGGATCCCCACGGTTGGTATGCCTCCTCCATGAGCGAGACACCCGCCGTGGTCCACGTGGGAGGGTCGTCGGCTTGGGCCAGCCACGCCTTGACGAAACGGAGCGACGTTGAACGGATGCGCGAGAGCCAAAGGTCGTACGCGTGCGAGAGACCGAAGCCGCCATGGCGTTTGGCCAGGAAGACCAGACTTTGCGCAAAAGACCGATGCGTGTGACGGCGAGCGAGCGTAATCGGTTCACCGTGGAGAAACTGAAGCATGAGCCGATCTATTTGAGCAGCGAGCGAGGCGTCTGGAGGTACCCATGTAAGCTGGTACCACAAGACCGGCAAGCAGACCGCTTGCAAGATGACGACTTTACCGACGAGCGAGTGCGATTGGTACGACCAAAGCTGGAGACGGGCGATGAACTTCTTGAGGGCGTAATCGTAGCGGGCTTGCGGCGCGAGGTGCGGCGCGACCAAGATGCCCAGCGCTTTTGCAGGTGCGGCCGGTGTGACTATGCGTCCGGGGAGATAGCGGGGTACGTCACCAAACGTGAGCAGCTCGGTCTTGTCGCGGTTGAGCTTAAAGCCGGAGTATGAGCAAAACGTGTCGACGAGAGCAAGTTGATGGGCCAGAGACGGCGCGTCCCGGGCAATGAGTTGAGTATCATCGGCAAAGCAGCTGACGACATGTTGCCGGTCGTTGATCGCAATGCCAAGATGACCATGCGACCGGAGCAGTTGACACATGGGCTCGAGAGCGAGGACAAAGAGCAGCGGCGAAAGCGGATCACCTTGGAGCACACCGCGTCGAATCGCGAACGGACGAGACAGACGACCATTAATGAGGAGGCGAGAAGCACGCCCCGAGTAGAGACACTGGACAGTACGAAGAAACACCGGTGGAAGCCCGAGCTCCCGGAGCGCAACTTGCAGGTAACGATGGTCCACGCGGTCGAAGGCCTTCTCAAAATCTAGGAGTGCGAGCACGCCAGACGGCACATGACGGCGGACGTATTCGAGCGTGTCGTCCAGACGTTGGACGTTGGTCAGCAGCGTGCGGCCATGGATAAAGCCGGTTTGGTCGTGGCCAACAATGAAGTCCGCGCACGGTTGGAGTCGCGTCGCGAGCACCTTGGTAAGTACCTTGACGTCCGTGTTGATCAAACTGATAGGCCGGTAATTGCCAGCGACGTCGCGGTCGCCTTTCTTGTGCAAGAGGATCGTTGTACCTTGAGTCTGCAGGCCGGTCAGATGCGCACCGATAGCCAGTTGTTGATTGAAGACGAGCTCGAGGATCTGTGCCCACTTGGACGGTGCGAATTGTAAGACTTCATGCGGCAACGCGTTCGGGCCTGGCGTCTTGCGGCGTGCGGAACTCATGATCGCGGCGTAAAGTTCGGATGCGACGACCGGTGCCGCAAGTCGGCGCGCAAGGACTGGCGGCAGACGATTGGCAATAAGCGGTCGTACAAAAGAGGTCATGGCGTCAGCAGGCGGCACTGCTTCGCTAGCGTACAACGACGTGTAGAACCCGTGCAGCGTATCTTCGATGCCTTGGCGAGAGGTGTGACGATGTCCAGCCACGTCGCGCACGGCTTGAATGGTCTGGCGATGAAGCGGCCGCGGCGTCGGTGGGCGCAAGTGCAGACGTGTACAGCGCGACGATTCGGCCAGGTATGCGTGCATCCGTGCGTCAGAGCGGAAGGCACTGGTCACGGTGTGGTACTGGGCAAGTTTGGCGCGGTTGTGCTGGACGAGTTGTTCGAGCTCGGCCGTTCAATGCCGGCTGAGATCGTACATCGACTGAGCAAAGCGGCGTTCCAGTTCCTTGAGTTCTGCGCGGTCTTCAGCTACGCGTACCGCGTGCAGCAGGCAGAGTTGATGGCGAAGCGAGAAGAGCATGGTGTCGTAATGTCTGCCAAGGTCTTCGTCGAGGCGTGCTGTCGCGAGAAACGTGTCAAGATGCGCGTGAATCGTGTCGGCAGCCTCGGGGTCATCGAGAAGCCAAGGTGGCATCTTCCAAGGCCCTTTCCCGGCCGGCGTCGTATCGGCGATATGGGCGGCAACGGCGGCGTGGTTCGACTTGGTAGTGCCAAAGACATGACGTGCCACGACATGTGGTGCGTCGACGAGTGGGCGCGAGACGAAAATGTAGTCAATACGTGTCTTCGTAGTCGGGCTGGTGTACGAGCAGAGTGTCGGGTTGACATGACGGAAGATGTCGACCACCGCAAGCGCGTTCAGCCAGCTGATGAGCTCGCGACGGCCGCGACGAGTTGCAGCAGATGGGTTGGAGACGTCGAGAGCATCGCTGAGTGTGACATTGAAGTCGCCACCGATGATGTGCAACGCGTCGGCTGCAAAGTCACGCGGCAGTGCGTCGAAGAATGCCGGTCGGTTTGGGGGCTCGGCCGGCGCGTAGACGTTGTGTAGGTAAACTGTGCGATCATCGAGACGACCGCAGACGAGGAGATAGCGGTTGACGAGTGGTGGCGCGTCATGACCAGCGACGATGTGGAGGTCGTGAAGCGCGCTTGTCGGGTGTACCGTGGTGGCAACGCCACGGCACGACAGACCCGTTGGCGTCAAGGGGAAGCGAGGAGAGCAGCAAAACCAGCGACCATCGCCGTTTGTCCTTGAAGACCAGGCGTTAGCCGCAGAGTCCTGCTTGTTGATGTTTGGAAAACGCGTCTCTTGGTAGAAGGCGACGTCATGCGAGAGCGAGAATGTGTTGAGGATGTACGAGATCTTGTTGGTGATGTTGTTGGTGTTGAGCGAGCAGATAGACAGAGACGGAAGCGAAGACGGTGCAGTGGTGGCGGCCGGAGGACGCCGGGCGGCAGCGGTTGCAGCCACCTTAGTAACGTCCTGCCGGCAGCACAAGCTCGTGTGTCTGCTGGTCCCAACTGGCGTCGGCCGACTGGACAATGGCGAGCAGTGCTTCTGCTTGTCGGCGGTAGTGCACTAGCAAGTGAGCCTGCTCCTTAATATGGCTTTGTACGGCCGGGCATTGCAGCAGCTGCGCGAGCGTCCAGTCCGTGAGCATGTCTTGGCGAAGCCGCGATGGCACTGCGTTGATGAAGTGGCCAATGGCAGCGTCGTTTGAGTAGAGTTCGGGAGCAAGCATCAAGAGGACGAGGTCGAAGTCAGCGAGAGCGACACGTGCCGTGAGCCCTACTCCGTCGCCGAAGAGGCTTCGGACCATACTCGTCGGGTGGCTGTCGGTGTTGAGCAGCTGGTCAAGCTTGTGCAGAGCGTCTTGTTCGGGCATAGACGAAGCACGCGTCGCGACATACCGTTGCAACGTGCGCACGTGACCAAGTGGTGTAGCCGACTCGGGTTCCTGGTTAAGCAGCGTCATGAAGAAGTGCGGTGATTGGTTGATCGTCGCCGCAATCACGGCGGTCTTGGATGCGTTCGTCTCCAAGGCTTCTTGAAGCGCTTTGTAGTCGTCGTCGTCGGTGCTGACGTGCCGTTTGTAGCGGGCAGCTGGCGTGGAGTCGGTCGAGCAGTGGACGCGGAGCGGTGTCATCACCGAGCCGCCCATGTCGTCATCATTCGTGTCGTCCTCCTGGTCCGCCAACAAGGAGTACGGGTTGTCTTGGCGGAGCACCAAGTTGTCCGGACGGTAGAACGTCGCACAGTCTTGGAACTCGATTGCGGTCACGACATGGCCCGCGTCGTTGGCCGCTGGTTGTTCTTGAGCTGAGTGAATGTTCTCCTGTGCTGTGATGCCGCTGGTGGTAGTGTTGTGTCCACACTGCAGAAGCGGCGCAGTGTTGCAGTTCGGTCAAGCAATGTCAGCGCTTGAAATATAAAGCGCAAATGTGCGAGCAGGGTTTCTACACGCGCTGTGGCAGCAGACAATGACGAACAGGTTGCCTAGTCTCTCAACAACTTGGTGCAGCGCCGACGTGATAGACTGACTACGTATCCCGCTTGGTCGCAGTGATACAGTGCAATTTAACACAAAAAACAACAAGCCCATTCATTCATGCAAATCGATATATGCCTCTCGTTGGGCAAACAGCGAGCCGCCTTGATCCGACAATAGTAATGTGTGAAGTATTATGGCACCATGCTAAGATGTTGCATTATTTCCCGGTGCTACTAAAGCTTGGGACTTGTAAATACGAAAATGATCACAGAATAAGATACATTGCATTATCGCCTGCCTCGCTACAGAGCGCGTATGCTACACGATCGATCGGCTGAGATACTACGACACCAGACGACACCACCGACACCCGACGACACCAGACGACACCACCAGACGACCGAGATACCGCGAGAGAATCGACTGAGAAAGCAAGATGCGCATACCGCAACCATCGCCAAGACACAAAGTTGAAGATCAAGACACCACCATCTTGACGCAAAGACCACAGTGCATTGACCACATTGACCACCGAGGGCATTAACGACCTGGACCACCGAGCCTTGACCACCGAGAGCCTTGACCACCTTGACCACCGAGCCTTGACCACCGAGATGACCACCGAGCCTTGACCACCGAGCCTTGACGACCTTGACCACCGAGCCTTGACCACCGAGACCCTTGACCACCTTGACCACCGAGCCTTGACCACCGAGATGATCACCGAGCCTTGACCACCGAGACGACCACCGAGCCATGACCACTGAGCCTTGACCACCGAGCCTTGACCACCGAGACGACCGAGACGACATTGACCACCTTGACCACCGAGCCTTGACCACCGAGATGACCACCGAGCCTCGACCACCGAGACGACATTGACCATCTTGACCA